TAAGTTTATTCCTAAAAAATTTTAACAACACAAAAATACATAAGTTTTCACAACTGCCGTAAGTGATTTCACAAAAATACATAAGTGATCACTAATACTAGTAAATCCTTGGAGAATATTTTTATTTTACAAATTTGGGTAAGTTTTCACAAAATCACGTAAGTTGTGTCACAGAACTTAGGATAGTTAACACAAAATGATGCGTAAGTTCGTTCATAAAAATTTTCAACAACACAAAATTTTGTAAATTTTCACAACTAACGTAAGTGATTTCCCAAAAAATGCATAAGTGATCACAAATATTAGTAAGTCCTTGGAGAACACTTTTATTTCACAAATTTGCGTGAGTTTTTACAAAGTCGTGTAAATTGTGTCACAAGACTTAGTGTAGTTAACACAAAATTCGCGTAAGTTTGCTCCTAAAAAATTTCAACAATACAAAAATGTATAAGTTTTCACAACTAACGTAAGTGATTTCACAAAAATGCGTAGGTGATCACTAAAACGAGTAAGTCTTTGAAGAACACTTTTATTTCACAAATTTGTGTAACTTGTCACAAAGTCACGTAAGTTGTGTGTCACAAAACTCAGGGTAGTTAACACAAAATGACACGTAAGTTTATTCCTACCAATTTTTAACAACACAAAAATGTGTAAGTTTTCACAACTGACGCAAGTGATTTCATAAAAATGCGTAAGTGAAGACAAATATATCCTAGTCGTTGGATAAATCTTTGATTTTACAAAAATACATATGTTTTCACAACTCACGTAAGTGATTTCACAAAAAATGCATAAATTAACACAAAAGTCGTGTAACTTTATTCCCAAAAATTTTGAAGAACACAAAAATACAGAAGTTTTCACAACTCACGTAAGTGATTTCATAAAAATACGTAAGTGAACACTTTTACGAGTAAGTCGTCGGAGAAAACTTTGATTTCACAAAAATATGTAAGTGAACACATTTACAAGTAAGTCGTTGGAGAAAACTTTGATTTCAAAAAAATCCATAAATTTTCACAATTCACATAAGTGATTTCACAAAAATGACTACATTCACACAAAATTTGCGTAAATTTGCACCAAAAAAAAATTGAATTTCACAAAATTGTGTAAGTTTTCACAAATGTCCATAAGCGATCTAAAAAAAAGTGTAAATGAACAGAATCTTGTGTAAGTCGTTTAAGAAAACTTTTAGTTAATTGAAATGCGTAAGTTTTCACAAAGTCACGTAAGTGATCTAAAAAAAATGCATAAGTGAACACAAAATTCGTGTATCTTATCTCATACAAATTGACTAATTTCACAAAAATGCAAGTATTCACAAACTCACGTTAGTGATCTAACAAAATTTTATTTGTGTAACATAAAACACTACTACAAAATCACAAATAGATCATGGATTTTAAGTGAGATATATGTTATTTAATCACGAATTTTTTAATTTGTCAAAACTTGATTAAGGGTCACTTTCGATCACACTTTTTGACCGTCATTAAAAAATAATTTCATCACATGTTTTGACCGTGATAAAATACATTTAGATCACGAAGTTTAAGTATGATTAATAACTAATAAAACCTAAGATTGAACTTAAATAGTCTATGATTAATAATGAGATAAAATCACAGTTGTATGCTTTTTTTTATCATGGTTAGTGCATGTGATAAAATAAAAAAAAAGTTTGACCACAAAATATGACTATCAATCACAATAAAAAAATGATTAAAATTTGAACAAAACTAATATCTAAAATATAATCAATATTATTTGTACAAAAATTACCTTTGAATCATAACACTAACCACATCTGAATAGCTAATAACCTCATATATTTCATAATGAAAGTCGAATGTTGGAAAAATATATACAATAAAAGTTAAGGAATAAAAGTTTTTTTTACTACATACACAATAAAAATCTAATTATAAATTTTTTTTTAAAAAAAAAACTTAAGGAAAACTCAAAATTCTTTAATGTTATGTCTTCTTTGATCATATTTTGCATCTTTCCAAGCAATTTTTGACCTGAATAAAAATAACACAAATTAGTTCAGAGACCACTAAAAACATAAGAATAAACTTACGCATATTTTCACTCATGGAAACCCATTTCAGAAAATAGAGAGTGAAATGGAAGTTTCATTACCTGCATGGAAACAGTGTGATGGTAGTGATCCAATGATCTCTTTGACGCAATGATGGTGGTTCATTAGTCTTTGGGTGTCATGAATTGGTCGGTAGTCCAGGCGATTCTCGTCGAGCATATGTAATCCACTGCCGGAGCCATGGAGGACGGAGAAAGAGGTAGAGACAAAAAAAAAATGGGATAAAACCCTCGATGGTTCTCTCTGTGTTCATAGAGTGTTAATGACTAGCGTAAAAATGATTGGAATCCACCCAAAAAGATTGGAAATTATTTTATATAAAAATAAGATTGGAAAAATATATACAATCACACCCATTTAAAAATTATGATTAAAATGTATATATATATAATTACATTTATTTAGAAGGTGAGATTAAAATAAATACTTTAAATTAATTATGATTAAAATATTATTCTAATTTTTTTAATTACAATTCTAATAAAAGTGAAATATTTTAAATTTCTTTTGTATGATCGTTAAACATAATTGTAGTAGCGAAATCAAGAAAATCTTCAGGAAATCACGTAAGTGACCTTAAAAAAATACGTATGTAACACAAATTCAAGCAACGAGCAAGTAAATTTATCCAATCATTTGTTCAATCGATTGGTAGCAGTCACTGCTTGCAATCAATTGAAGACTCTAATTGATTGGCCAATTGAAACTGAAAATCCTTGCCAAGCCATCCGATCAATTGCCAAATCGATTAGAGTGGCCAATTGTTTCAATCATTTATCCAATCATTTTTTGTGCTTTGAAACCCTAGGTAGGATTAGTTAAAACAAATAAAATGGGTAGCAAATTGATATCATGATTAAGGAGTTCTATACTCATATTACAATTTCTCTGTGGAAAAAATGGGTAACAAACAAAATTGCAGGAATATAGGATCCTCTTTTTCTCTGAATATCATGAATTTTACACTATATTGCCTTTTGCTTTGATTCTTTTTGCACTTTCATTTCTTTGTTGATGTAATCTGCTTACATTTTTCTTTTTTGATGTTGCTTCATGCACTATTGATGGTAGTAACAAACTTTATGCAAGAACCCAGATACCCTATGTCTAGGGGCGGAGGCACGTGAGGCCCGGGGGAGCCTCGTGTCCCCCTCAACTTTTGGAAAATTATGCATTTGTTGCTTGTAAAAAAAATGATTTCAATTTAAACCTTTATAAGGTTGTTGGGAAATTTTTATATCACTCCTTTTTTTTTACCGTTTTAAAATATGTAAATATGTTGGGAAATTATGCCTTTTGTTTTCTTTGTTTGGGCAAAATTTGCAGGTTAAAACACACATGTTGAAGCCCTTGTATCTCTGTTATCGAAACTCCATTTCGCCTCATTTTCACATCATTGGATTCTCTTCATGGCTTAGTTTTCATTCCACTCATCATACGCCTTATTCTACGTCTTTTTGTGTCCCGTTGGAGCTCCGAAAGTTGGCCCATTTTTTTCTCTCTTCAAGGACTTTAAAATTTTTAGATTGAAACCCACATGTTGAATTTATAAATAATATTTAATATTGATTTATAAATATTTACACACAAGTGTCAATATACATCGTGATAACCTCACCATCACTACGATCATCACCAACATTGTTGTTACCATCATCACCGTCACTGTTACCACCACCACCACCACTACCATTATCATGCCACCACTACTACTATCACCACCTTTATTACCATTGTCATTGTCATTATAAACACCACAAGCATTTCACTACTACCATCACAGTTTCCACTCTTAATATTACCACCTCTTCACCACCACTACAACTACTACAACCATATACCTTCATAACCATTACCACCATTGCTATAATTGCCATAATCATTTCACCGCCAATGTCATTACACTATTGTCGGCACCTCCTTTTTACCTTCATACCATCATTACACCATCCTGCCGCCCTACTACCACCACATAAAATTTAGAAAATACAAATTCAACATAATGCATTTCAAATTTAATTATTAAATAGGTACAATAATTAATTGGTAAATAATTATTTATTTATAAGACAGCTGGTGTTACTAATTAAAGTAAGGACATATTGGCCCTATTTGACAAGTTGACTATTTGGTTTTTTGGCTATTTTAGTCAGGCTAAAATAGTTGTATTTGAGAAGATAGTTGGTTTTTTTTATAATTAATTTGATGGCTGTGAGGGAAAAATTAAATTATTTATGAATTAAATGTGACATTTTACCTTATTGACTATTATAATATATTTTGTCCTTATTAGATATTTTAGCTAAAACTTGTCAAACAAGGCCATTGACAACGGTGGCGATTGAAAGATAAAGGATACATGACTACCATCATCATTATGGCCCTGTTTGGTAGAGCTGTGAGAAAGTACTTATAGCTTATGCTTCAACAGCTTATAGCTTATAACTTTCAGTTTAAGCTGATATCCAGCTTATTCTTAAAGCATCTCCTGCCCCACTCAAAGAATAAGCTGATTTCTGACTTCCAAAAAGCTATAAGCTATAAGCTATAAGCTAAACTAAACACATCAAAATAGCTTAAATTAAGTTGAAAGCTGAAATAAGTTGTAATTAAGCTCTGCCAAACAGGCACTATATCTTACACCGGATTATTGGTTAAAATCAAAAAAATCTCTAAATTTATTTTTTGCATTTAAAATATTAATTAAACTTTAATAAAGGTAAAATTATGAACATAAATAATAAAAATTAAAAAATGTATAAATTAAGGCCAAACCAAATTTTACTACGAAATTTTGTCCTAATTTGAAATTTCTTCTCAATATTTAAAACAAACCGTCCAAAATTTTGGCTAAATTAAAATTCGCTCCTTAAATTTTGCCTAAAGAAAAAGAGGAGGAAAAACAGAGCAAAAACTACAACACGGCTGGAGAGAGAGAGAGAGAGAGAGAGAGAGAGAGAGAGAGCGAAAGACCTTCAGAGTTACCTCCTTCGCAGCCCAGTTCGTCTTAGCTTCTCCCTCCGCTCGACAAAGACCCTCAAACGAAGCAAACAGAGCCGTCTCCCCTCTCCCTCCGGCCGGAGCTCTCTCACCTCTCCCTCCCACCGCCCAATTTCAGGTCCATGTTCAGATATTAGGGTTTTGAGTTTTGATTTGAGGCTTTTCAAATTCAAAATTAGGGTCTAGGGTTTTCCAATTTCAAAATTTGGGGCTTTTCAATTTGGGGTTTAGTGTTTAACTTGGATGCTCGATCTGAACGTTTAAATGGGACTTAATAATGTCAATTTACTAAGTCTCTTAACTTCAATTGTTTTTGGTATTAATTTCGTTAATTTTTATTTTTATTTATTTTTTTTTTATAGCTTTTATTTTGGTGCCACTATATCTATGAAGGTTTCAATTGTTGCCAAGACTCAGTAATGCTTCAAGAGAGAAAACACAGGTATTGTTGATGTCCAATTTAATTGCTTTATTTACATTTACGGTATGAATTCTTACAAACATGTTATTGATTGCTTTAACCAAACACTGGTTTTGTGTTTGTGGTACTATATATTTGATTTGGTTTTATCTTTTTGACTGGACTGCTTTATCAATTTTGTTTTTCTTTAAATTTTCTTAATAAGCTCACATTAGAAAGCTTGAGGAAGAAGTGAAACTCCTTAAAAACCTTGCAAATCCATTATTGTTTGGTTGTATGACTTGAAGCAATGTTGCTCATTGTTATTTAGAGAGCTTTGATTAGAGAGATTTGATTGATGAAGCAAGTTGCTATTTCTTTTGGTTGGTTGCCTAACTTGACTATACATCTCTAGGGAATTATGTCAAATAAATTCGTAGGTGTGAAATATTTTCTTTTTTCTTGTAAGTATTGTACTTTTTTTTAAAAAAAATTATTTTATATTCTTGGAAAAAAAATTGCATTGATATAAAGTGGACCAACGGCCACAAATTACGCAATCATACTTTGTGTTTATTGAAAGCGTACTTCATGTTTATATCAAATTGGGTTATATCATGCTTTGGGTTTATTAAAATCAAATTGGGGTATGGTGGGATTGGGGGAGCAATAAAGAATGAATGACCAAAGAAAACAAATCATGTAACTTTCAATTATTACTTTTCACTTTATTCTCATTTTGTTGGTTCTATTGGTGTTGGTGTAATTGATAAATAATTATTAAACATATTCTTTTGTTGTAAAATTTTCTAGAGAACTTTACTTATTTATTTGCATTCATACTTATTATCTTCATGAGATGATAGGTACCCAAATGAAAACAATGTTGGGGTTGAGTAAGGGGAGTCAAGATTCACTGAGGGAGGCGATGTGGGTTGGACATGACACTTTTCCTTATTAGAAGTATCCATGGTACAATGCATAGCTCTAAATGAAATCATGTTAACTATCATTCTAAAATTGCATAGAACAATTATATTTGAGCACAATATACCTTGACACATGGATATTTATCTATGATTTGAGGCATGAGATGATTTACCTATACTTTTATCTATTATATGTGATGATTTATCCATACTTTTATCGAGCTCAAGGTAACCTTAAGAATATTGTCATATCCCTTTGATTTTCTTGGAGTTTTTGAAGTGTTATTTTTTTGAGGGACTTATGTATAGGTCTTAATAGGTCCTATGATAATTAATAGCGTTTTTCATCAAACATTATTACAAAATGTCATTAATTGTTAATTTTCAGCGACAGTTTAAAAATTGTCACAAAAACTGTCAGTAATTATGGTTTTAGTGATAGTTTAAAAAAATTGCCACAAAAAAATTCACTAATTTTCAAATTTCAACGACAATTTGAAAAATTCATCACAGAAAAACGTCACTAATTGTAAGTTTTAGCTACAATTTATAAAAATTGTTAAAAAAAAAAAAGAAATTATTAAAATAGCAAATATTTATGAAATCAACATCCTTTTAAATAACAAATTATTTGGTGTATGTATAGCATGTATGAAAATTGATAAAGTCTAAAATAAGATTTTTAATAGTCTAGATAATTCTTCAAAGTTTTTTTCCAGAAAGTATATGAAATTATGTGTGAGTGTTCTTAATTATGGATTATCACTTCTATATCATCTCTCTTGTATGTTATAGGTTCGTGATATTATATGTGCTTATTTTATGGACTTAATTTATCATGCCTTAGTTGTCTCTGTGAGAATATAGAATATATTATTGTGTGTTTTGTACAAATTAGAGTCCTATTAGAGACATGATTGTGTTAGAGTCCTGTTAGAGAGACATAATTATAATTGTATATTTATCATTTTTGGTTTAGGATTTAGGGTTATATAATCTAAGGTCTGATTGTAATCTTTGATACATTGAATATATGAGATACAGAAAGCTATTCAGAAATCTTACATGGTATCAGAGCTGTTCTCTGATCCGAAACCCTAGAGCTGTCTCCATTACTGTCTTGTTCGTGTTTGTGCTTGCTTCTCCTAGGCTCATTCTGGTTCAACTTTGGTATGTGATTGTGCCTCATCTCAGTCGACTCATCTGCTCATTCTGGTTCGTGACCCATCTGCTCGTGATTGTGCCTTATCTCAGTCAACCCATCTGGATTTCTTTTCTGTTTGTGTTATTTGGTAGTCGCACCCATCCAACGGTTTGACCCATCTAGTCATCGTCTCCTCACAGCTCGTCTTCTCTCTCTGGCTCTCCTTCGTGGTCAACCCATCTTGGTTTTGCAAGAATTCGACCCATCTCTAGTTCAGTCTGTCGAAACCCCTAGTTCTCTCTCTGGTTCGAAGCTCTCTGGACAAATTTCGCGACCTAGCTGATTCGCAAGTCTTTGACTCGCGACTTCTTCTCGCTGCTCTCTGCCTCGCGATTGTCCCTAGTGTATGGTTCTCTGGTTGCTTCGTCCCATCTGTTGGTTACATCGAAGTGAAGTTACCTCTCAGTTTCTCTCACTCGAAAGGGTTATGCTTGAGGCTGGTTCGACCCATTGGATTTTTGCATCTGAAATCCTCTAATACTGGATTATTGTCATATTATTTTCTGATATTACATTTAGACCTCATACTCTTTTGGTTTTACACTGTGATGTTGGATATATTGGTTTTGTTGCCCATATTAGCTTTCAGTTTATTATGATGATGACAGTTTCTGCTTCTGTAAAGCCCAAGAAAGGGCTCATTGCTTCAGATGAGTGTACCTACTGCCATCAAATGGATCATTGGAAGTACTATTGTCCCAATAATGGATGTCTGTCTATTCAGTCTCCTGCCGATTTTACTGCATCTGCTACGACTCTTGATCCTGACTTGACTTCCTTGACTGTTCAGATTAGTCAGCTTCGGCATATATTGTCTAGCTCCCAGCTATCCCCATCTACTTCCATTGTTTTCTCTCTTCATTCAGGTTTGCTTGGGTCTGCTTCAGGTATTTCTTCGTCTGTCTAGCTTTTTGACTCTGGTGCCTCTCATCATATGACTTCTCATCTCTCCTTACTTCAAAATTGCACTCATCCTCCTTTTCCTATTACTGTCAATGCTGCTAATGGGTCTGGTATGTCTGTTATATCTGTTGGGTTTGTTCTATCGTCTGCTATGTCTATTGTCTCTATTCCATCTATTCTTTATGTTCCTCAATTATCTGTCAGTTTATTATCTATCAGTCAACTTGACGCCTCTGGTTTTGATGTTATCTTTTCCTTTTCTATCTGTTTTGTACAGGATCGGATGTCTAAGTAGCAGATTGGGACTGGTCGTAGAGTTGGGGACCTCTATGTAGTAGAGAGCTTGCATCTGCCTTTGACAACTTCTCCGACTGCCTTTTCCTCTTTTTAGTTAGATTCTCTGTCCAGTCCTTTCTACTTATGGCATTCTAGATTAGGGCATTTGTCTGCTGACCACTTACGGTCTTTGGCTCAATCAGGTATCTTAGGAAAAGTTTCTTCTAGTGAACTTACTGAATGTAAAGGGTGTAAACTCGCCAAGATGACAGCCTTACCTTTTCATAAAAGCACTTCTATATTTGATACACCATTTTCTTTAGTTCATACTGATGTTTGGGGCCCTTCTCTTGTTCTCACCAAAGGGGGTTCTGCATACTATGTGTCATTTGTTGATGATTGCACCCGTTACACTTGGGTTTATCTTATGACTCATAAGTTCGATTTCTATCAGATATACCGTACCTTTCAGTCTATGATTACTACACAGTTTTGGTCTACTATTAAAGTGTTACGGTCTGACTTGGGTGGGGAATATTTTAAAACTGAGTTTTGTGAGTATTTGGCCAATTTGGGTACCATTCACCAAACTTTCTGTACAGATACACCTGTCCAAAATGGTCGCATTTAGCGTAAACACCGTCATCTCCTTGAGATAGTTAGGTCTCTTCTTCTCTCTGCCTCAGTTCCGGCCCCATTCTGGGGAGAGGCAGTTCTTACTGCTGCTTTTCTTCTCAATCGCATGCCTACTCCCATTCTTTCTGGTCAGTCTCCTTATGAGGCTTTGTTCTCCCAACTTCCTAACTACTCCCTCCTTCGTGTGTTTGGATCTGCCTGTTTTGTCCTTTTTTCCCGCAAAGATAGGACCAAACTTAGTGCCCGGTCTGTCCTCTGTGTCTTTTTGGGTTATAGTCCTACTCAGAAAGGCTATCGGTGTTACGACCCTGTTTCCCGTCGTCTTTATGTCTCCCGTCATGTTTCTTTTCTCGAACGTCTGCCTTACTTTCAGCTTCCTCCTGTCACTGCCCCAGTTTCCAAAGAGGATTTGGTTCACATTGACCCATTTCTTTTTGAGGTACCGTCTGATGAGTACATTTCCATAGTTCCTCCTGAACTTGTTTCATCTTCTCCTCTTGCTTCACCTCTGGCTGCTTCTCCTCATTCAGTTTGTTTTCCTTCTCCGTTGTTAGTTTATTCTCGTCGCAAGGCTCCTCCTCCACCAGTTGTCTCTACCCCTACTGCTAATCCTCCTGCTGCTGCCGACTCTGATCCTGATGCATACCGATATCCTACTCGAGCGCGTCATCCTCCAAACAAGTTAGGTTGGTCTAATACATGTTTTTCTGCTTCTTATCGTACTTTTTTGTCTGTTATTTACTCTTTTTCAGAACCTTAATCTTACAAAGAGGCATGTCAGGACCCTCATTAGGTTTACGCTATGGCAGATGAGTTGTCTGCTCTACAGAAAACTAGTATTTGGGAGTTGGTTCCTTTGCCTGCTGGTAAGAACTTAGTTGGTTATAAATGGGTCTACAAAGTCAAGACTCATTTTGATGGGTCTCTTGAGCGCTATAAAGCTCGTCTGGCTGCCAAAGGTTTCTCTCAGGAGTATGGTATTGATTATGAGGAAACATTTGCTCATGTTGCCAAGATGACTACTGTCCGTACTTTAATCTCTGTCGCTGCTATTCGCTCTTGGCCTTTTTATCAGATGGATGTTAAGAATGTTTTTCTTAATGGCCATCTCACTGAGGAGGTTTACATGCGTCATCCTGGCCTTTACCATCCCTCTGGTTAGGTTTGTCGTCTTCGGCGTGCTCTGTATGGTCCAAAGCAGTCTCCTCGTGCTTGGTATGATCAATTTCAGACTGCTGTTACCGAGCTCGGGTTTCATCCTTCTGCTTCCGACTCTACTTTATTTCTGCGACATACATCGATTGGTTTTGTTGCTCTCTTACTCTATGTGGATGATATGATCATCACTGGCTCGGACTCTTCTGTTATCTGTGAGGTCAAGCAGCATCTCTTCCGCACTTTCGAAATGAAGGATCTGGGTCCATTACGATATTTTTTTGGTATTGAGGTTGCTTCTTCTCTCAAAGGCTATTTTCTATCTTAGGCCAAGTATGCTAATGAAGTCATTCATCGTGCCCTGATCTTGCTTATGTTGTTCATGTGGTTAGTCGGTTCGTTTCTGCTCCTCGCTCTACCTATTGGGTTGCTTTGGTTCGCGTTCTTCGCTATCTCAGGGGTGCCATCTTTCAGGGCTTATTGTTGTCCTTTACTTCCTCTTTGGACTTAGTGGCTTATGCTGACTCTGATTGGGCCGGTGATGTTACTGATCGTAAGTCTACGTCTGGTTTCTGTATGTTTCTTGGAGATTCCTTGATCTCTTAGAAAAGTAAGAAACAATCAGTCGTTGCTCGCTCTACTGCCGAAGCTGAGTATCGTGCTATGGCTCATGCCATTGTTTGGCTTCGTTGTCTCTTGTCTGATTTGGGTGTCTCTCAGTCTTCTCCGACACCTCTCTATTGTGACAACCGCAGTGCTGTTCAGATTGCCCACAATACTGTCTTCATGAACGGACGAAACATATTGAGATTGATTGTCACTTTGTTCGCCAGCATCTGCAGTCTGCCTCTATCTCGCTTCCTTTCATCCCTTCGGCTTTGCAACTTGCGGATTTCTTCACCAAAACTCACACTACCGCTGGGTTTCAGTTTATTCTTAGCAAACTCTCAGTGTTTTCTGCTAAAAACACCTTGAGTTTGAGCGGGGGTGTGAGAATATAGAATATATTATTGTGTGTTTTGTACAAATTAGAGTCCTATTAGAGACATGATTGTGTTAGAGTCCTATTAGAGAGACATAATTATAATTGCATATTTTCCTTTTTGGTTTAGGATTTAGGGTTATATAATCTAAGGTCTGATTGTAATCTTTGATACATTGAATATATGAGATACAGAAAGCTATTCAGAAATCTTACAGTCTCATGTTTGACTTTGGTTAGCTTTGTTGTAATTATTCGTTGTTTTAACCGAAAACCTGATGAATTTAAAAATGAGAAACTTAATCAGGTGGTAATGGGTTTGCATTCACTTGTAATGATTTGAAAGGATAAGTGATAATGGTTGGTTTGATAATGAAATGATGGTGGAACGTATCCACTTTGAGTTAAGTCTTGCGCAAGTGGTTATAGCGTTAACCCTATGATGGAACATGCATATTCGGACTCTATGTGGTTGTTTGATCTGGTGAGATAAGTTGGGTCCAAATGGGACATTCAGGAGGGTAAAACCTTTTTGTTTTTGAGGGATAAGGTTGGGTTCAGGATGATAAATTCTTTTTTTTTTTTTATATCCCTTTTGAGGTTCATCAATGGCATTGCGCAATATATAATCATTGCAAGCATTCGTGGTAAAGTCTACAAAGTAGCAAAAGGGAGAGTTTCAAATAGTATGGTGTCTAGTTCTAGAGGTTAGACTGACGGGTCTCTTTGGGGAACTCTAATGGCCTTGATTTCACTGTTGTAATTAATTGTTAAATATTATTAACTGATTGTTACTTATCGCTGTTGTTTAAGACTGCATTGTTGTAATTGTTTGTATTTCTCTTTAATTCTCTATCTATGTAATTATATTTTGTACTTCTACTTGTTCGTATTATTCAGAGGTTGTAGAAAGTTGGGGTTGGGTGTTCTTATTAGGTTGCGCAACTCACAACTTTTGCCTTGGCATCCAATTCCAGGTTTTGGAGAATTTGTTGACGTAGAAGATTTTGTGGAAGAGATCGAGAAGCTGTGCTAGGCGTGGACTAATGTCGGATTTTTCATCTCATTATTGAAAATTTATTTTTTAAGAGCAACATTGTCTATAATATATAAATTCTGATGCACTATTATTTACTTTTGGATGTGTAACCTTATCAAAACCCTATGTTTCTTTGTTATTATATCTTCGATTTTTGGGGCTTCACATCGACAATGATTCCATTTATTGATCTTTAATGGAAAAAATAACTATTAAATCAAAACGTACCAGAAGAGCCCAACACATATTTTTCTTCAATAGAAATAGAAAAGCTTTTGCAACATAGAAAAAATGTTCAGAGCAGATTAGCGATTTCCTTCGGTTGCATATGATTTATATCAACAATGCTTTATTGATGACTTTATCATCTTGTAACTCCTAAACTTCTCTCTCTCTCTCTTTCTTCTCTCTTTCGTTAGTTATATAATAGGTAGAGAGAAAGATTAGGAAATTACAGTTAAACGGAGTGAAAAGAGTTCGAGAGTCAGTTTTGTTTGTAAAATGTTTAAGCTTCTAGTAATATAAGCTTAAATATAGGGACAAATTAGGAACAAAAAAACTAAAAAAACAGGGAGTGTGGGGGTAGCTCTAAATGCACCCCAATAATTTGGTTGGGCATCTCATTCCTTTGTACACCCCCAAGTCAAATTTGAATTTTTCTCTTTTTTGTTGAGCACCCCTTTTAATTCCAACCTTACCAACCTCACCTGCCTGCCATCGAAGCTAATGGACAAACTATCGGTAGCGATTTACAGAAATTCAAATCTAAAATTGACTTTAGGATCGGCATTTTGGCACTATATTTTCAACATTGAATATACACTTGTTTTGTGATTCATCATTCAATGTGTACCCTACATTATGCTTTGTTTGACCCATAAAGTTTATATGTGCAGTGCGTTGTTGTGCCAAACATTCATCAAGTTCGTGATTTATAAAACATAGCCTAGGTTGCTTTCAATAACTCCTGCAAGTCATGGTCTCTTCAACTCCTTGCATTAGTGAAATATATATTTTTTATTCAAACGGCCAACTTTATGAATACGACCATTCCTCGTGTAGAAAGAGGCTAAAGGTTTTCGATTTTGTACACCATGATCTAGTTTCTCAGATATCTATTGGAGATTCACGGCAGAGAAAAGGGTCACAGTGGCAAATGAGATAGCGGCGGCAACAAGAGGAAATAGAGGAGGTGGAGGTGGCATTAATGGGAGGAGAATGTGGTAGTGGATGCAAGGCGATGGGAGGAAGAATTGGCAGTGGTTGAGGCAGCGACGATGAATGGAGTAGGTGGTGGCAGCAATTGGAAAGTAGAGTGGGTGAAGCTGGGTGATGTCTATCGGACCTAGGGTGTGTTGGTTGGAATTAGGGTTTATTTGTGACCCTTTTCATCTTTTGGTATATGGGTAAAATGATATGTTTGGTTTCTATTTTTAGAATGCACTTTTTAAAAAATTCTACTTCTTCGTTTTCTGTATTCTTTTTTTTCACTTTTACTGATTTTTTTAATATTTAAGCAATTTTTAAAATTTTTAGACACACCTAACATAAATACACTCAAAAAGTATAATATTTGTGAATTTTTTTAAAAAAAATTCACTAAATACCAAAAATATAAAAATAAAAAGATATGAAAATTCAGTACATATTTTGAATTTTTGTGTATTTATTAATTTTTTAAAATATTTTGTTATTTAGATACACTTAAGTAAGATGTATCTAAAAAAACAAAAAAAAAATGATTAAAAAATTTAAAATATTTACTAAAAATAAAAAAAAAAATACGAAAAACAAAAACCTTAATTTTTAAAAAATTGAAACAAAACACAGTATTTTTTTTATAAAAAAAAATGGGTGCCCAGCGAATATTTTGCTGTAGAATCACCTGGAGCATGGACCTTATCTTCTAAAGTTTAGGGACTTTAACTTCCATGTATGTTTTGCCAGTACTCACTATTGTAGACTTTCTACATATAGAGGATGTATTATTAATTTTCCCAAATTTTGATATTTAGTTTTCTATTTAATATGAAAATCTTTATTATGAAATATTTATATTTAATTTAAATTTTATATATCTATATACAATATGTATGATGATAATTATCTTATAATTTAATATATATTATATAAAATCATTATATGATGATTACATTTTTATAAAATTATCAAAATATTCAAAAAAAAAATTAACTAAAAATATTATATATAAATATTTAAATAACACTCTTTTGAAACAATATGATTAAGATTATGAAAAGAAATTATTATAACCATATTTACTTTAAAATTAAATTAATATTATTCTTTTATAACACACATCATAAAAAAAATATTATTAAAAAAAAGATTAGTGGGTCAACTACTAATATTTAGCCCTCGTTTGGGATGAATAGCTTGGCTTTTTGGTTATTTTTATTCTCGCTAAAAAAATTGTGTTCAAGATAAATTTTAACTTTCTTTTTTTTTTTTATAGTTGATTTGATAGTTATGGGAGAAAAAGTGAAATGTTTTTGGTTTGGACGTCACATTTTATCATATTGGTTAAATTAATATGTTTTGTTTTTATTAGCTAATTTAGTCAAAATAACTCATGCTAAACGAAGCCTATTATTGTTTTTATATCATTATAATTTATGTATCATCATATAACACAATCATAACTATTAAACTATTTAATATAAACCATTTCATTAATAGTTTTAAAAAAATTACTTTGATATAAAAATATCATAAATATGTAACTACTGTATTAGTGAATTAATGAGGTGATGAAGGGAAAAGTTTAGATAATTAGGTCGGGCTTGGGCAAATAGAAGAGGTGGTCACATAAGAGGGACAGATAATGGTCTCCGTTGGGGTTGGGGTTCGGGATGAGGAATAATTAAAAATCGGGGATTGGGGACGGAGAGGCTAAAATCTATTCCTCCTCACTCCATTGCCATCCCTACTCTCTCTCTCCAGCCGTGTTGTAGTTTTTGCTCTGTTTTTCCTCCTCTTTTTCTTTAGGCAAAATTTTAGGAGGGAATTTTAATTTAGCCAAAATTTTGGACGGTTTGTTTTAAATATTGAGAAGAAATTTCAATTTAGGACAAAATTTTGTAGTAAAATTTGGTTTGGCCTTAATTTATACATTTTTTTTATTTTTATTATTTATGTTCATAATTTTACCTTTATTAAAGTTTAATTAATATTTTAAATGCAAAAAATAAATTTAAAGAATTTTTTGATTTTAACCAATAATCAGGTATAAGATATAATGATGATGGTAGTCATGTATCTTTTATCTTTCAATTGCCACCATACATCGTTGTCAATGGCCCTGCTTGACAAGTTTTAGCTAAAATATTTAATAAAGACAAAATATATTATAATAGTTAATAAGGTAAAATGTCACATTTAATCCATAATTACTTTAATTTTTCTCTCACAGCCATCAAATTAACTACCAAAAAAACTAACTATCTTCTCAAATACAACTATTTTAGCCTGACTAAAATAGCCAAAAAAACTAAATATTCAACTTGTCAAATAGGGCCAATATGTCCTTACTTTAATTAGTAACACCAGTTGTCTTATAAATAAATAATTATTTATCAATTAATTATTGTACCTATTTAATAATTAAATTTGAAATGCATTATGTTGAATTTGTATTTTCTAAATTTTATGTGGTGGTAGTGGGGCGGCAGGATGGTGTAATGATGGTATGAAGGTAAAAAGGAGGTGTCCATAATAGTGTAATGACATTGGTAGTGAAATGATGATGGTAATTATGGCAATGGTGATAATGGTTATGAAGATAAATGGTTGTAGTAGTTGTAGTGGTGGTGAAGAGGCGGTAATAATAAGAGTGGAAACTGTGATGGTAGTAGTGAAATGCTAGTGGTGTTTATAATGACAATGACAATGGTAATAAAGGTGGTGATAGTAGTTGTGAAATCCCGTATTTTTACATAATAAAAATAATATATGTTTTTAATTTTCTTAAATAATTATTCATCATATTTTGAATTTAATAGTCTGTATATTTTTATACTAACATTTATTCAAAATAAAATAAAATAAAATATTTTTTTGACTTTATATTAGTACCCAATATAAATTTATGAACCTTATGATATTTTTATTATATTTTTCTCTATAGTTTTTTTTTAATCAAATTACACTGAAATTTAATATTTTATATACAAAAAAAAAAAAACAAAACAAAAAAACAAACGTGGTGGACATGCTGATGGCATACCACCAAGTGTTCAACTTCTTTTTCTTTTCTTTTTTTAAAAATTCTTTTCATTTTTTTTTATCTTCTTTGAGCCTAACTTTTCTTCACATTCCTTCATCTTTTCCTTCACTTCCAGCTTCATCTCTCTCTCCCTCTCCGTCGGTTCTCCTTCTCCCTCCACCTCTCATTCTCAAAACTCTCTTTCTCCTTCCTTATCTATGTTTTTCCTCCTCCCCCGACCTCCATAGCCAAGGCCTTAACCCATACTATCACCATCCGAACAACCAACCCGTGAACTTCACCACCATTGGCGCACCGTCGGACCACGACCACCACCACCACCACCATCACCTAATTCCATTATCATCTAGAGCCACCATTCACAACGTGTTGTAGCTAAAGAAAGAGAAGAAGGAAGATGGAGGAGAAAGAAACAAAGTTAGAGAAGTTTATTTTGAAGTTCAAAAGTTGATTTTCGGCTTACTTTCGGCATGCCGAAACCATCTATTCCAAGGAGAAGTGAGAAAAATAAGCCATGTAAGATGAAGTACGAAGTAAGTTAAAGAGATTGGCGAAAGAATGAAGTAAAACTGTTAAGAATTAAGAAAGTTATGGAGTCCGAAAGATTGTTCGAAAAAATGTCCGAGATGGTAGGAAAAAAATCTTATTTTTTGTCAAATTTTGGAGATCCGACGGCATGCAAAAAGAGACGGAATGAGGCGTGTGAGTAGTGAACCAAAAACTAGGCCATGAGGTGAATCCAATGACAGAAAAATTAGATAAAACGGAGTTACGTTGAAGAAGATACAAGTATTTGAACTGGTGACATTGAAACTAAAATTATGGGTCTCTCTGTCGTGCATGCTGAGGCTGTTTGAGAAGATGAACTAGATTTTATCCAGTGTTTCTTGGCCCATGGTGCTACGGTGCATCCTAGTACATTT